GTAGGTCTGGGGGGCATTAGTCACCAGAATTACGATTAGGCTCATTGTTCTGGTTTTTATGTTGTTTTCAAGTCCGGCCTCTCCTACTGCTGTGGGTTGCCATGTGGCTACCATGGCATTCTTGTTTAAGTTGAATGGTTGAAAGGATGTGACCAAACATTTTCTGGTTAGACAGGCATGAAGGGTTTCCTCAAGGGTAGAAGGTTCCAGGATGCTCGGAGGCCAGTGTCTTTTGAGATTCTCCAAGTTCTCTTTGGCGTTCTACCGGGCAGGGCCGGACTGGGAATAAAATTTGGCCCAGGCATTTTTTTATTACAGCGGCCTACTGAAAAGGGGGTGGGGCCATGGAGGGTGTATTTTGTCATCACCAATGACAAGAGGAATATTAAGTTTTAGTCATTAATTAAAACTGTACGTATATCCATTATGATAACTAAATTCCCTTTCAATGATAGCCTCTGATAGTCTGGAGAGGTTAATAATGAGGACTGGGATCCCTTACTCCCATATTATATATATAATCCTTTGAAATAGAAATTAGGAGTGATGATACACTCATTATTATATTGTATGAATACACTAACCATAACAGAAAATAATAGCAATACAATCTGAGTACCAATATATTAAAAGCCAAATACAACCAAAATTTACACACAGACAAGCACAGAAGATGCAGGGGTCCACCGCACCACCCTGCTAGGAGACTGGCTCTCCTCCAATGCCTACTGTTACCTTAATTTACAGTTAATCACCCCACATACGGTTTAACTCCACACTGAGTTCTAGTTATATGCACACCTCGCCAGGTACCCAACTTAGTTGCAACACATCGGGCCAGACAAAGAGTAAAAAATAATACTCAGAATCCCCCCCATCCCCACCACTGATACACCAGAGTTATGAGACTAGGCAGCCACAGCCGACAGGGATGTTCCCATCAGTGGATCACACACCACCACATAACACTAAATAGCCATTTCTCTATATCCCACTGAGGTCACTCAAGCTACCTACCTAATTGTATTCAATAACTATACAAAATGTTCATGC